CAAACGCAAAAGCAAGCTCAGGGTGGATCACAAAGTCACCACACAGTCCGAGCACAAGAGCAGGGCCAGAGGCAGTTCACATGCAGGAGTACAGACATATATATAAAACTAGACAAGCAAGAGAAGGTATATATATGTCACAGTACAAGTGAAGTCAAGAGGAGAGCAAGTGAGGCAAGACAGGTACAAGACCCAGCTGGGTGCAAAAGCGCTGATGGTCACAAGGCGCGAGTGCCTTGGTGAACACATCAGCAGTGTGGGCCTCAGAGGCCACGTACGCAAGTCGCAACTGAACCACGCTGCTGCGCTCACGAGCAGGAAGTAGAGAGAGAGCATGTGCTTGTTATGTGCTCCATAGCGCTCCTCTCGACACAAGGCCAGCATGGCCTTGTTTGTCTACACGTACAGCACTGGAGGAGAAGAGGCGGCTCTCCAAGGTCAGTCAGCAGGTAGGTGAAGCCAGCGAAGCTACTGGGCAGGCCATGCCAAGGAGTAGATCTCAGCCTCCCACAACTGGAGCGAGAACCGAAGACGAATCGCGAGTAGACCGCACGAGACAGAGCCGGAACCAGGCTGAAGGTGTAACCCTGCTGACGAACCGCTGCGTAGCCTGGTCGGTCATGCCCAAGAAGCGTCCGCGTGGCCGGTAAGAACCACTGGACTCCGCCCTCCAAGCACTAGCCCCATGCCCGACGTACTGCACAGGTAGCGCAATACCCTCTTCGCTGCAGCCATGTGCTCCGGTCTGTGTTGCCTAGGAGCAACATAGCGTGCAAGAATGCTCAGAGGGTATGCAAGGTCAGGTCGTGTGCAGGTCATCAGGTACATGAGGCAGCCAACAAGCTCTGCATACGGACCACTCGACTCTACGGACTCATCCGAAGGTCAGAGCTGAGAGTGAGTGGCGAGTAGGCAGAGGAGTGGCCTGAGGCGAGGAGTACGTTGAAGCCGAAGCGCTGAAGGACCTGCTGCACCATGTGTGACTGAGTCAAGGTAATGGTGCGGCGTGCTCGGTCACGAGTGATCTGCAAGCCAAGGTAGCTGCGCAGTTTCACCAGGTCTGTGCACGTGTGTCTCTTCAGCAGCTCGGACTTCACGTAGGCGAGTCAGCAGTGTCCGCTGTGGCAAAGACCAAGTCGTCGACGTACACGAGGATGTAGAACGGCGGCAGGGAAGTGTCGGTGCGAAGAAACAGCGAGGTCAGCAGTAGAGGAGCAAACCCAAGAGCCGCAAGCGGTAGTCCTCAGTGTGTAGTGCCACTCACGCTGGGTGCCTGGCGGAGACCGTAGACTGGCCGTCGGAGGCTCCACTGGGTGCCAGGAGGGAAAGTCCCAGTGAAGCCAGGTGGACGGCGAAGCCAGATTCCTCGTGCAGGCTACCCTGCAAGAACGCAGTGCTGAAGTCGAGAGAGTGAAGCTCGTAGTCGCGCTGAGCGGCTATGTGCAGCAGCACCCGAAGAGTAGTCATCTTCGGGGTGGGAGAGAAGGTCTGAAAGTAGAGTCAACTCCCTGCCGCTGACTGAAAGCCACGAGCAACGTACCGTGCCTTGAAGACAGGTGGAGAGCCCGGCGGCCGCTCACCCTGAAGATCCACATGCCACTGACGTTGTTCGCCCCAGGAGGGGGGAACCGCGTCAACGTAGGTGCCTGTGGACTTCCAGGAAGCCATCTTTGCATCCATAGCTGCCTGCCACTGAGAGGAGTAGGACCCTCTACGGCCTCCCGCGTAAGAACGCGGAGTCGGGATGTCTAGGTGCATCCGTGTCCCTCAGGCGCAAGCAGTACAGACGCGAGATGAGGTGAAGCAGCGCTAGACACTGTAACTCCTCCTGCCTGTCCTCTAGGACGTCCTTGCCAAGAGCACACTCACCCCCGACGGACGGAGGACAGACAGACGCAGACTCAACAACAAGACTAGCAGCGTAGTCGAGACGACAGCGAGCAGCAAAGTCGACGAGCTCAGCGACAAGGGCAGACGCAGCAGTGGACTCAAACGAGGGGTCAGTGACGACAGTAGCAAGGAGACGCGTGACAGTAGGACTGGCAGCACGAAGAGAGTCCGACTCAGGGTCGGCAAGCGCAGGAAGAGAGGACTCAGGAGGAGAAGGCGAAAGGGGCACGCAGAGGAGCATGGGACGGACGCAGAGACACTCCGGTGCGTGCCAGGGACAGGAGAGAGGACGCTGACGCGAACTGCGAACACTAGCGCGAGCAGCACGAACAGGCGACGCAGGACGAGACGCAGCTCACGACGCTCAGCAAGACCTCCAGTAGGACCAGTGTAAGGAGAGGGAGCAGGCAGATGGAGAGGAAGGCTCCAGCAGGGACTGCGACTGGACAGGCGTGTGACCCTCTACTAGAGGAGAAAGACCAAGACACCTGCTGCAAGGAGCGGAACGAAGTACGGCCGAGGCCGCGCGGCAGCTCCAGACTCAGCAGGGACAGCACCAGCACCCTCAGCGACAGCACCAGCGCCACCCACACCTCCAGCGGCAGGACCAACAGCAGTAGGCTCAGCACCAAGGCCCTCAGCAGCTCCAGCTCCAGGAGGACCCGCAGGTCCAGCAGCTCCGGACCGGCAGCACCCGCACCCCTCGACGGTCGAAGAAGCTCCAGCTCCAGCTCCAGTAGCACCTCGGACGCAGCAGCACGCCTCCAGCGGCGAGCGAACCACTCGCGCAGCTCCTGTGGAGAGAGGGGCTCCCGGCGAGACGCAGCAGCAGGAGAAACCCCAGGCTCAGCAGCTCCAGACGCAGCCCCCAGGCTCAGCAGCTCCCAGCATCAGCACCCCCAGGCTCAGCAGCTCCCGAACCAGCACCCCCAGACCCAGTACCTCCAGGCACAGCACCCCCCGGCTCAGCACCCCTAGGCTCCGCACCCTCCGCAGTAGCACCTTTAGGCCCAGCACCCCCTGTAGTAGCACCCCCAGGCTCAGCACCCCCGCGCACAGCACCCCAGAGTCAGCACCCCCAGGCTCAGCACCCGCAGCAGCACCAGAGTCACCAGTAACCTCGACCGGGTCAACGGCGTCTACCTGGGACACACCTGAGGGGGCAGGAACCTGAGGGGGGAGGGGGTCGACCGGGGGGGAACCGGCACAAGGAAGTCCGGGGGAGGGGGGAGGGAAGGAGTGCGGTAGGGGAAGAGACGGTAGAAGGGGACTGACTCGTCGAACGTGACGTCCTGGGAGGACAGAACACGACGAGAGGAGGGGTGGTAAACACTGCCACCCTGGGGCGTCAGTGGGGAAGCCAAGGAAGACACAGGGAGCAGCACGAGGGGACAGCTTGTCTGCAGACAAGTCGCGGACAAACGCCCGAGATCCCCAGACACGGAACACAGACGCATCGCCAACCTTCCCCGTCCACAGCAAGGCTGGGGACATCGCAGGTCGAGAGACCCGGGGGTGAAGGTTGAGCTGATGCGCCGCGTACCTCACCGCAAACGGCCACAGAAAATGGGGGGCAGCCGCATGCATCATGGACGTACGAGCGACATCCATGACCATGCCAATGCGGCGCTCAGCAATCCCATTTTGCTGTGGTGAGTCCGGAAGCGTGAAGGTCTGGCGGATCCCCCGCGCACGACAGTAGTCCCGCAGAAGGCGAGAAGAGAACTCTCCGCCTCTGTCCGAGTGCAGACGCAGAACAGGAAAGTCCGAGCCGAAGCTCTTCCTGAGCTGGAGACGAGCCTCGCGGATCCAGTCGATCAGCACCTCAGTGACCGCACCCTTGCTGCGCAAGGGGAGGACTGTGGTGTAACGCGAGTAGTCGTCAACCACCAACAGGAAGTAGCGCTCGTAACCCTGCCCACGGACGGGGGCTGGGCCCCACACATCCATGTGAAGCGTCTGCAGGGGAGCCTCTGTCGGGGGGAAGTGGGAGGAGTGAGGAGTAGCCCGGAGGCGACCCTCGACACAGGGGACACAGGAAGGTCCTGGCCCGGAGGGGAGAGGAGGGAGAGACTGGGGAAGACCAGAGACAAGGACACGGGAAGCCATGCTCCGAAGACGGGGCAAGGAGGGGTGGCCAAGACGGTGGTGCCACAGGAGAGTCTCGTGAGACAGGAGGCGACAAGAACAGGGGGCAGACTCAGGACCTGACCGGGACGCAGCAGCAAGCACCTGACCCGACGCAGCCACCTGACCAGACGCAGGGACAGGAGGAGACTCAACGGTCAGGGTGTAGAGACTCGACCCCGGCCGACGCGAGAACGTGGCCAGGTGTCGGCCCTGTGCGTGCCTCCGTGCAGTGGGTCACCCGCTGACTCGCAGGAGTGAACTGGTGAACCCCCACATCCTGCAGGTCCGCTCCACTCACCAAGTTCGTAGAGAATGAGGGAAGTTACAGACCAGACAGGGTGCCCGAAGGGGCAGCCGGACACGGGAGGACAGTGGAGAAGTGAGACAGGACAGGACCCCCAGAGGGGTCAGCAAGGGAGACCGCAACCCGGCCGGCCGAGCGGCGTAAGGGTAGTGCGGTCTCGAAAGAAGGAGCGAGAAGCCCCGGAGTCAAGTGTGAAAGTGAGGGAGGACGAGGACGACGCAGTACCTGAGAGCGCAGTCTCACCAGTACCTGAGAGTACAGACGCACTGGCACCTAGAGCAGCAGCCTCACAAGCACCTAGCGCAGTAGTACCAATGCCCGGGTCGGGCTGGAAACACCGGTAACCCTCATTCTCCTCACTATAATCCACAGCATACATAGCAGCAAGGATAGCATCAAAATCAAGATCAAAGATCGCTACACCAGCCCTGAGAAGCTCATCCCAGCGAGGGATCTCACTAGCCCCAGGGAATTGCCGACGCCAAGCGTCCGTCAGGCGGCCAAAGCAGCGCTGGGTGGCGTGGGCACCCCCACACTGCTCACCCGCCGCGGTCGCCGGAACGAAGAACGTAGGTGCAGGGACCAGTACCCCCACCCCTCTGACGCCCAGCGTACCACTCACGAAGCTGCTGAGGCGGAGGGATGTCCCGCGAGCGCTGCTGCTGCTGCCGCTGCGAGCGCTGGCCACCACCACCGCCGCTACGCTGCTGGGTACCACCCCGACCAGCTCCACCTCCTCCACCACCACCGCCTCCTCCGCTGCCGCCTCCACCGCCTCCACCTCCGCCGCCTCCACCCCCGCCGCTGCCTCCACCACCACCGCTGGCACCACCACCACCGTCTCCGCCGCTGCTGCCACCACCACCCCCACCACCCCCGCCACTAGTCCCGCCGCCACCCCCACTCCCTCCGCCGCCACCGCCGCCACCGCCACCGCCCCCTCCAGCTCCACCCGCGCCCTTGCCCCCCTTGCCCTTGCTGGAGCGACGTCTCCCACTAGGGTAGACGCCGCGCCGACCGACTCAAGACCAAGCAGGTCGGCAGCAGCAGCAGAGGCAACAGAGGGCAGCAAGGGGGAAGGAGAGCACCCCTCAAAGATGGGGGTGCGAGGGTCACCACGAGAAGCACCTACAGCGACTATGCTCTTCTCCGCTGCGAGGAGGGCCTTCTCGAGGAGGTCGACGGTGAGGGTGGTGGGACAGACTGCGAGAAAGTGGTCCCTGACGACGCGAAGGGAGTCAGGGAGGCGCGCGACTACGTAGTAGAGAGCGATGTACATGGGGGGTGGGTTCTTAGCGCAGAAACTCAGCAGGAAGGGCGGCGCGGTAGCGAGTGTCACTAGTGCGGAGGTGCGTAATGAGGTCAGCAACAGTGGGAAAGGCAGAGAGGTCAGGAAAGAGGTAGGGAAGCATGAGACGGGTCAGTGCAGCAGTGGCAGGGGAGGAGTAGCGCGCAACTACAGCGTCGTACAAGGTCTGAGCACTCTTGTACTGACTAAAGTGCGCTACGCTCAGAGGTAGGGAGGTGGCGACGCACAGCAAGACGTGCAGCAGCATCGCGGGTGGCCCACTGAGAGCGGACAGTGGGATCAGCATCAGTAGCAGGAGCAGGAGAGGCGCCAGAGGTGAGGTCAAAGAGAGAAAGGCCGTCAGCCCTGTCGCACTGTAAGAACAGCTGCAGGTCGTCTAACCAGACCTCAAAATCAATGGCGCGACCCTCAGCGTCAAAAGCTAGGACACTAGGGGTAGCCATGGCGACGACAGCGACGCAGTGCAAGCAGTAGGGAAAGAGCTCGCAGTGTCAGTGGGACTGTGCTCACCAGGCAGGGCAGGTCGTGCAGCTCCGCAGAAAGGCGGCTCAGCGACCGGGCGGCTCGGGTGCACAGCGGCTCGGCTCCCAGGCGGCTCGGCGGCAGGGCGGCTCGGGTGCAGGGCGGCTCGGTTCCTGGGCGGCTCGGCGGCAGGGCGGCTCGGCGTTGGGCGGCTCGGCTCCCGGGCGGTTCGGCTGCTGGGGCGGCTCTGCTGCTAGGGCGGCTCGGCCGGGAGATGCAGGGGTGGGGCCGTCAGGTGCAGCGGCGGGTCGACCGGTGCAGCGGCGGGGCCGGCAGTTGAGCGGCGGGCCGGCAGGTGAAGCGGCGGGCCGGCAGGTGAAGCGGCGGGCCGGCAGGTGCAACGGCGGGGCCGTCAGGTGAAGCGGCGGGCCGTCAGGTGCAGCGGTGGGCCGGCAGGTGCAGCGGCGGGGCCGTAGGGTGCAGTGGCGGGCCGACCAGGTGAGGCGGCAGGCCGTAGGGTGCAGCGGCGGGCCGGCAGGTGCAGCGGCGGGGCCGTCAGGTGAAGCGGCGGGCCGCTGGGTGCAGCGGCGGGCCGGCAGGTGAGCGGCGGGCCGGCAGGTGCAGCGGCGGGGGCCGTCAGGTGAGGCGGCGGGCCGTAGGGTGCAGTGGCGGGCCGTAGGGTGCGGCCGCGTCAGTGGAGGCGGCGGGGCCGCGTCAAGCAGGCGGCGGGACCGCGACGAAGCGGGCGGCAGGGCCGCGTCAGAGCCGGCGGCGGGGCCGCGTCAGTGGAGGCGGCGGGGCCGCGTCAAGCAGGCGGCGGGGCCGCGACGAAGCGGGCGGCAGGGCCGCGTCAGAGCCGGCGGCGGGGCCGCGTCAAGCAGGCGGCGGGGCCGCGATCAGGAGGGGTGGCGGGGCCGCGTCTGAGGGACAGCGGGGCCGCGAGGGAAATGGCGACCCGAGGGGTCGCTAAAAAAAAAAAAAAAAAAAAAAAAAAAAGGGCGCGCCTCGGGGCGCGCTTCGGTGGGCCCTAAAAAAAAAAAACGGTCCTAAGGAAGGACCCGCTCTATACCATGTGAAAGAAGTGAACAGGAATGAAAATGACTAAGGAAAGATTGGGTACAAATACAACCCTAGAAACCCTGTACCCCATATGTGCTACCCCACTATAGCCTACAAACATGCATCAGCTATAATACTCTGACAAGTCTCACCAGAGAAGAAGGGTCGAGCAGCTCAGTAGGACAGCAACACAGCAGCTCAGCAACTCCGCCAGCCCAGGAGTAGCAGCAGTCCCACAGGATCCGGCTCCCGGCACCGTAGACGGATCGGGCGGCTCGGGCGGCTCGGGCGGCTCGCGCGGCTCGGGTGACGCGGGGGGCTCACGGGCGGCGCGGGCGGCTGCACGGGCGGCTCACGGGCGGCTGGGGCGGCTCACGGGCGGCACGGTGGGCGGCTGCACTGGCGGCTGCACGGGCGGCTGCACGGGCGGTTGCATGGGCGGGTGCACGGGCGGCGCACGGGCGGCTGCACGGGTGGCGCGGCGGGCTGCAGCACGGGCGGCGAGGCCGCAATGGGGGCCGTAGCGGGGCTGCAGCGGGGCCTAAGCGGGGCCGTAGCGGGGCCGTAGCGGGGCCGACGACGGGCTGTAGCGGGGCTGTAGCAGGGTCGGCGGGGCCTAGGCGGGGCCGACGGGGCCGACGGGGCCGTAGCGAGGCCGTAGCGGGGCCGTAGCGGGGCCTAAGTGGGGCCGACGGGGCCTAAGCGGGGCCGACGGGGCCTAAGCGGGGCCGACGCGGGGCCGTAGCGGGGCCTAAGCGGGGCCGACGGGGCCTAAGCGAGGCCGACGAGGGGCCGTAGCGGGGCCTAAGCGGGGCCGACGGGGCCTAAGCGGGGCCGACGCGGGGCCGTAGGGGTAAAGCGGGGCCGCGACTAAAGGGCGGCGGGATCGCGAAGGTAAGGGCGACACGCAGGGTCGCTAAAAAAAAGAACGCGCGCCTCGGGGCGCGCTTCGGTGGGCCCTAGGAACAGTCCCTAGGAAGGGACCTGCTCTGATTCCATGAGAAGAATTGAACGAGAATGGAATGACTATGAACGAAGTGAGTACAAATAGGAAACCCTAATTGGGTTGTACCCCCTATGGGATACCCCACTATAGCCTACACAAATAAGTAAGCTATATGTTCTGACATCCTGCTCCTTCGAATCCGCCGGTGTATGAAGGCACGGGCAATCGGCCCATGCTCACGCTCCTGCTCCCATCGGCGTTCGACGAGTACCTTTCGGAACCTGACAGCAACAAGGCCCCATATGAGTACGTTGAGGCTCCGGCCCCGGCACCACGTTGGGGCCAGCCCGAAGATTGCACTTGGGACGAATCCGGTGTGGGCGCTGACGATGATAAGGCCGACGCCGATGAAGAGTGGCGCGCCGTCGCCGAGGCTAGCACCGAGAGTGGCACCGAGGCTGGTACCGCGGATGATGTGTTTCTCGAGGATGCCCCGGGCGGCGACGACGACAACGACGGCGTAGAGTACTAGTTACGCGACGGCCTTCCCCAGAAACTACTGATACCATTTTTCCGCCTACCAACCGCAAGCAACCCCACCCTTCTTCTTAGAACCGTGATGCCCGCCCCCCCTCTCCCAAGCACAAGCCCTCACAGCATAAGCGTCAGGCTTATACTGCGCATGAGAAGTTGAGGTGGATCGCGCGTCTAGATTTGGCGGTGTCGGTGCACGCGTTGGCTCGCGAAAGTGGCATCCACCGCAAGTGTCTCACGGAGTGGAAGAGAGCCTCGGACTTCCTCAAGGATGTTCACTCCGCACGAAAGCGCATGCGTGGTCGCGGGAGATCTTCTTGGTACCGTTCGATGGAGCTCAAAGTGTACGAGAGGCTTCTTCACTGGCGCCGCAAGGGAACCGCCGTCTCCGTCGGTCGTCTGCAGGAGTGGTCGTGGGAGTACATGAACTTACTCTACCCCGACGTGAAGTGGAAGGGGGGCCAAAGGTGGTCAGACCGGTTTCGGTGGTGGTGAAATCTCAGCGTGCGCATGAAGACGGAGGTTGCCCAAAAAACTGCCTCCCGCAAGAATTTAATTTCCGTTTGTTTCTTAATTGTGTTGTACCGTATTATTTGTGATTTACTAAGCCTTATGTGTCCCCACCCCTTCTTCTGGTTCACAGATGTCGCGGAGCATTGCGAGAGGTTCTCGCAGTTCGTCGGTGACATGCATCGTGAGCGCGGCATCGAAACCCCGTGGATTATCAACACCGACCAGACGTTGCTTTGGCTGGAGATGCCCGCCACCACCACTGTGCACCAGAAGGAACCCGTAATTGTGATGTTAGCGTGCACGGCTGATAGTGAGTAACTCAAGCCGTGGGTGTTTTTCAAGTGCAAGACTGTGACGAAGGGAGACTTTCCGCCAGGTAAGAGATGCGTCTCGTTTCGATGTTTATTTCCTTGTTTTTTTAATCAGGATATTAACTTACCGCTTGTGATTGTGCATATGTGGTCGTGGGTTGCCACGAGAATGGATGGATGGACGCCAAGGGTGTCACGCGGTGGTATCAAGCCCTTTATTAGGCCCCGGTTCGGTAGGCATGCGAGGAGCGCCATGCTTGTGGTGGACTCCTACTGCGGTCATCTCACAGATACCATGAAGGCGAAATTTGCCGACTTCGACATCGTGCCGGCGGTCATCCCGACGTGGTGTATGGCAGAGATTCAGCCCCTCGACGTCTCAGTCAACAAAAGCTTCAAGGCCTCCGTCCGTCAGCAGTACCAGAAGTGGTTTGAAGAGGAGGGCCAAGAGAGACTGACAGTTGCAGGTACGGAAGCCACCGTTAAGACCATATGCGTGCTTCCTAAACCCCCCGTTGTTGATCTAACCGCTTCCCCCCCCCTCTCTATCTAGTGGTGCTGGAAACCTCAAGAAGCCGCCACCAGTAGTGGTGCTGAGATGGATCTCACGGGCCTGGAAGGGAGTTCCCGCCGACCTCATCAAGCACGCCTTCCTCACTGTGGTAGTAGCAACGCGCTTGACGGCAGTGAGGACGGGCTCGCCATGGCGCACAGGCGGAGCCAGCTGACTTAGGAAGTGGACGGCGATGACGAGATCATTGCTGACGGCTTCTGGGGCAACAACTGCAAGGAGCCCGAGTCTGACGAGGAGTAGGTAGATCCTAGCTAGACATGTTAAGCTCTGAAATGTGAAGCCATAGCTTGACATGTTCAAGTGTAAATATTTTCAACGTGTTTAGAGTTTAAAGAATATTATGTTTAGGGTGTTTCATAAAGTAGAGTAAAGAAACTTGAAAGTGTGGAAAGAGATGCGCTTATAATAAGTACATGCTCCAATGGGGGTGCGCTCATAATTGAGTTCCGGCCATAAGCGCCATGCTCCAAATAGAGCGTCAGCGCCTTTAATCGGACGGCGCTTATATCCACGGCTATACGGTACCACAACTGGAGTCAACTGGATTCGTACGATATGAAATTGAGGTTAAATGGAGTCTCCCCATGCCTTCTGATTTCTTGAACTGTGTATTAATGGCTGAAATTGAGGTTAAATGGAGTCTTCCTATGCCTACTCGATGCCCATGGGGAGTTCTGCTACGCACATCATGAGGTCGCGCTTGAGCTTATTCGTCTCCGAGATCAGCAGCCCCACTCTCCTAGCTATAAGGCAAGCAAGAATCATCTCTGGATCGTGTACCCCAACTCCATTGAGCTCCCTTGGTGTGTGTAGGAGTTCTTTGCTCCACAGTGTGAAAACCCTCTCCACCGTTGCTTTGTTTTCGGATACGTCATTCTGAAAAGTCTTGGAGAGGGCGTTGTGAAACAAGGAAAACAGGAATGAAAATGACTATGGAAGATTGGGTACAAATACAACCCTAGAAACCCTGTACCCCATATGTGCTACCCCACTAAAGCCTTCAGAAACTATGTCATATAAATCTGACACACCCCCATAGGCAAA